TAACAGTTTTGACAGAATACCTTTAGCTTAGGGGGGGGCATGATAAAGAACAAAGCAAAGTTCCAAGCAGAGGATGAGTTTTTTCATGCTTTGGAAGTAAAATTATGCTTGTTTTCGGAAACATGTTCTGAATATATGAAGTTGAGCGGGAATTTTCTAAACTATTATCCAATCACGAAAGACTAAGGGTTGACCCTGAAACTTCGATGGTGTCAACCGCGTGAAACCCGCAGTACCATAGATCCGGTTTGTGTGACGTACTACTACTAACAGTGGTGATTTTCATCTTCTTTTTCTTCTTGTTGCTTGTTCTTGGATAATAGTAGTACCACATCCAAAAATGTCATGACAGCAAAGTGCTTCCTGGTGGTGGTGATGAGGACAACAAGGAGACAAAGAAGCACAATTAAGAAGGAGAAGAAGAAAAACCACCGAAGGAAAAGGCAGGACAAGAAGAATACTACTAGCTAATAGTAGTACACCACCACCCAGCAAACCAATTAGTTCTGGTCATCTTCCAAATGTCTCTAACAGTGGTTAGTACCACTTGAACTGGTGGTGGTACTGCAACATAAGCAAAATGTTGTTGCTGTCACTGCTAGTAGTAAAGGAACAAGTGATACTTCTAGTAGTAGTAGTACTACTAGTACTAGTACTACTACTAGAAGTAGAGCAGCCTAGTAGCAGTAACAATAACAAGAAGTACTACTAATTCTAGAGCTTCCTCACCAGCACCACCTTCAATCAGGGGACTGCTGACTGGTGCCAGAAGAAAAAGAATATGGATAGAAAGGTTTTGTGTGTTGAATGTTCACTTATTTTGGACTCTCCATTATCTTTTGGTTTGACCTACTCAAGATGAAAACAAACAACATGATATTTGGACATTCAATGATGAATTCTGGATAGAGAGTGAAACTTAACTATCAAATTGCATCAAACTGTGGGATTTTTCTTGTAACACTGCATTTTGGAATTGATCGAACCTGGCAACAACAATGTATCAAATTCCTTCTGATTGCTTGCACTCGATTTCCCACTACATTTTAAGCCTGACTTCGGGATTCATTTCAATCTTGAAGATTTTCAAAGGCATTCACAGGTTTGAAGTAGAGGTTTTCCTTGTTTGTTCGTTCACCTTGGCAAATGATTGCACACCAGCCTTTGTCGCTGCCCCCAGTCGCTTCATGAGAGGAACTTTATTTTTATCATCTCTTAAGTCACCCAATGTCGCCAAAGCCACATGTGATTCGTCGTGGTATGGGAGATGAGACATCCGATTCATCCACAATGATAAGTTGTCGACAGATAGCAAGTTTGTCATAGTGAGGGTCGATATCTAAGATGGATTTAGCAAAAAAGAACATATGAGATATGGTATCAATTAATGGTGCCAGGGAAGTTGGAGTGTGTTCTAGCTTTCGTGGAACACGTTCATCATATCTTACCTCCCCGTAAGCTAGAATGTCAGCAATCGATGGAGTTTCTAAACCACCGATATATGGGCTTGAACGAAGCCATCCCGAGTCTATGACGGATAAAATGGCTTGAATATCCTTCTGTTCTTTCTCCGAGACGCTAGCTTTCAAATCCGGTCTCACTTTGGTACCAAAGAGCTTCGAAACCGATCGGGTGTTGGTATGGTGCCAATGCATGTACGAGTCGATCATAGCTTTCTTCTCCGAACCAGGCGATGCGTACAGTTTGGGGCCGTGTGTATTTGTTTCGCCATACCGTTCGCACAAATACGTCATGATGGCTGGGCTTTCCGTTAGGAAAATATCACCGTCGACAAGCAAGGGAACTTTTGTGGAACGAATTCTCGTTAGGTTTCTAAAATTTTCGTGTTTCGTGCCCATTTTGTTGGATGCACCAGGAACAACAATTTCGATTTTGAAAGGGATTTCAAGCTGTAGCATTGTCCAGGCGCAGGAAGTGAATGGCTGGCTCAAGGGAACACCGAGTAGTCTCACAGCAGTCTGTTTCGCTGACATTGTTCAAGACTTAATTCAGAGGACGAGCTGTTCTAACGCAAGTTATGGTAGTAGATCTGTTTTCGATCATCGTAAAGCAATATTTCTTCTCCACAGTTCATGATTGATGTAAAGCCACAGAGCACCGCTATAGCAAGTGGCACGAAATCCATCACCGATCAAAGTTCCCATTCCCGGTTGGATCGTGATCAAGATTCTGACTCAAAGTTTGCGTATTGCGCGTACGTTGCCATGTCATCAAAATAATATTATTTTTGCTTCTGAATTGTTCACCGATGGAAAGTTCGAGTAAGGTAACAATCGTACTGTACAGCTGTTCAGTACGTATTCCATCAGCCAACATCTCAAAATGAGTTAGAGTAAGGTATGGTGGTACGGTTGATCAAACAAATCTTAGCAACGCTTTGCATCGCATGCATTTACAACACAAAAATTCCCTAAGCATAACATTATCGAAGAAAATTCACAAAATCAAACTTGAAAATGAAAGTTGGCACATTCGCAACCGTCGCAGCAATTCTTCCCGCTCTTGCGTCATCGTTCGTAGCTCCATCTCAGACACGGTAAGAACAGTAATACTAGTTCGTCTTCGTTCGTTTTCCTTCGCGCACTTGGTTGCGAAATGGATGATTCGTGCTTCGTCCAGAAATTGGATTTTCTAACGAACTGCATCCGTTTTTTCTTGGATCATACAGATCATCGACGTCTTTGATGGCTAAAGGATTCGGTGCAAAGGAGAATAAAGCCCCCAAACAGAAATCGGCCGGTCAATTGGAACGAGAACGAGCCGCCAATCAGTATGACCAGCTTGCCGCTACTGGCGGACAAGAATATTCTATCTTTGTACGAAAATTCGGAAGCCCCGATGATTCATGGCTTCCATGCGGATCGATTGCGGTAGCTCGTGGGGATCAAGTCTCGAATGCAATCTTTAGCAACGAAGAAAACCTGAAAACCGCTATTGTTAGAACTTTTCCCAAGCTCAAGGGGATGGAAGGAGAATTTGAATACGGGTACAACATGAAGATTTACCCCGATGAACCGGTAGAAGTTGCAGTGAAGTCAAATGCATCATCTGGGCCAAGTTTGGGAAACTGGATGTCCAATCTCCTGAGTCCAATGGACGCCTCGAATGTAGGAAAATCGCAATAAATTCCTACTGTACATACAGCCCGTTGAAGCACACCAAAAAGAATAGACTGCGAATTTGAAGCGTGCTGAGCACCACTAGGGAAACAATCAACATTTAAATTAAACCGGTACAAATTACACGAAATCATTCGGGGAGACGCCCGATCACAACTAGATTCCTTCAAGTTAAAAATAATAAGAAATACCGAACGCTTTGAATTTGGAAGGAGAGTGCCTGAAACTTGTTCACGCTTTAATTTGTCCCTTTACAACGTTTGGGGACAACAAGCTTTCTCCCTCGAAGAAGGGGAGATTATGTTTTCTACTTGCCGCAATTGCCGACGACTGAAATTGTTCGAGAGTAATACCATTCGACCCCATATCCGATATATTGAACTGCACATGGTAACATACGGCAGAAAAGATAAATCAATGAGCTGTGCATTAGAAATGACCCTGTCTCTTTCAAATTTAGGTTCGGTATCGGATCAGTGATATTCAAAAACGACAAATACGTACCTCCTCCAACAGTTTCCCGGCCAGAGCTTTGTTACAGAATGCGATAGAAAACTATTGTAAGCTTGAAAATCACCGTGATTAGAGACAAGAAAAAAACATCAAAAACTTACCATTGATGGCCGGATTCGAATCTTTTTTCCACCTAAACAGGCCATTCCCAACCTCTTCCTTGTCTAGAACACCATCTCCATTTAGATCCCAAGCGCCAAACACCGATCGCGCAAATGATTCGCTATCGATCCCGAGTTTTTCAACCAGGCGTTCCTGATTTTCGGCACTCAATAACCAATTCCCTTTGCTCTTGCTCAACGAGGAAAAATCTTGTTTTAAAGCTCTACCTGTTGTTGGATCGATCTTAAAGGTACATGGGACGGAATTTGGGATGTGGATGTGAGGAACTTCGTCATCGGGAACTTCATCCAAGTAGGCGATGAGGGATCTAATGAAAAAATGCAGATTTGGAGTTAGGTTTTAACACGGAGCAGCACCATCTGCCAACATCGGACTAGTTGCTAATTGAAAATCATTACAACGAAGAATTACCTAATGGTGTTAGCATGAGCAGAAATCAGAATTGTCTGCTCCTTTAGAAGCATTGTTGGAACTATCGTACCGTGCCAATATCTCAGTACTCGTTTTTGGCAGTCGTACAATGATTCTGTTAGGGGTGCAGGTGGCGGTTGATAATATGGGTGGACTAAAATTTCGATAAAGCGAAAATGAATGAGCATCGCAAATAATGAGACACTATTCCCTAAAAACGTCTTCTTCCATCAATCAATTTTCGTGACAAAATCTCACCTTCGTCCATCTCAGGCGGCCTGGCCTTCAACTCACGTCTCCACCTCCTCATTTGTTCCTCTCCGTAAAGAGTTACAAGTTCCGGGTTCGTTTTCGAAAGTCCTTGAAGTTCCCCATAGCTTATTAGGCATTTGTGATCGAAAATAATGGAAAAGAAAACAGAAGATGAATTGAGTCAAAGCTTTCGCGAAAAGAAATGATGATCAAAATAGAACTTTTCGTGATCAATCGTCGGAAACGTACTGGCGTTCGTTCAATTCGCATGTTCTCACTGTGATTATTGATTTCGATGAGACTCTGGTGTTGTCGCCAAAGACATCCAAAATTGCCTCTGCCGTGTCGTATGCTCTTTTGAGCTGTGAGGTGTAGACAATATCAAAGTCGAAGCCTCTCTCATCCATCACACGAGCTGCATCTTGAGCTTGTTTCACTCCTGTATCCGTCAACGGTACGTCACACCATCCAGTGAAAGTTGGAATCTTATTCCATAAACTTTGACCATGTCGTAAGAGAACTACGGTGGATGGAGGAGGAGTTTCCGTTGATCTGCTGGGAGAGGAACTGTGGCGAATCCCATTGGAAAGTTTTGGACAACATCCTCCTTGCCGTCGAAAATACGTCTGAATCAACCGACTACAAACGGCTGCTTCGTTGGTTCTTCCTATCATTATCAAGACTTGAAGATTCCCCTCATCCTTCAAATAATGTTAATACGAATTCTTCCGATTCACAACGTAAGTACGAGTACTGCCGAACATCCTCAACTTCGTCAAAACAGTTTAAAATACAGAGTAGAAGTACGTAATTCCAATATCGTACTCAAAACGTACGAGTACCGTACGTACAATACAACAGTAAAATGTTCGTCCTATTTTCATATTGTTCTTCGAAAGATGTGAGAACTGAGAACCTGAGAATCCTTTCTAAAATTGTCGAGAAGCACACATTCACGTAGAATGTACTAGCACTCAAACAAACTGGAGGGAGCTAAAAATAGAAATTATGACCCCTTCCATACTTCGTATCCGAGTTCAGAACGTCTATCGTATCGTCCCAGCACGTACCGGTACATTTATTCCTCTCTCGACCCTTCTACCGTACCGTATGTTTACAGGAATGACCCATTGAACCATATCGAACTAGAAGTATCTTCCGGCAATGGGTCATTCCCGCATACATATCACCATATGTTTTCGGAAAGCACTTTCAGTGGTACTAGTACTAATGACTCTGCAGGCTCTCTGAAAGTTGGCTACGGTGCACTGTACTTCACTATCTCTATCTTTAGTGCGCCTAGCCACTAACTTTGAAGAATTCTTACTGCCCTGGACTTACCGAGGAAACAAAAAGAAACTTTTTTTAGTGTAGATTTGCTGTACAAACCCCGGTATATTAATTTTTGCAAATAAATTAGTACCTTAACCAAAATAAATTATTCATTTGTTTTAACTTAAACATTCAGTCATTATTGTGACAACAAGTCATTCTACTAGCAAAAACCTGTGAGGCTAAATCACGAAGTTTTTGCACCGTAGTAAGTTTTTTTGGATGCCGCCGTCCTTCAAAAAAAAAAAGGCTGCGGCCGCAACCAATACATATTTTCCCCCCATTTTTGGAATTTGGAATCCCATATATGCTGGAAATTTTGCAAGATTCCAGTGGTGGGAACAATTTGGGATTTTCACTCAAACAACACAATTTTTTCCCCCTCCCGATACTGGAAATGTTTAGTCAAGGATTCCAAAACATAGTATTTATGTCAAATACACAGATCCTGGTTGTCTTGGGCCCACAACAACCAAAATTTATGTAATTTGATACATAAAATGAGCCGGCTGGCCTCAAATTTACATATTTCAAGTCAGTATGTATGCGGGAATGACCCAATAAAGTACCTCCTCCTGTTGACAAAAGAATAACAGTTTTTAACAATTCACACCTGACCATTTTCAGGAGGCTCCATCTCAGCAACCAGTCATTGTCTGAATATGTCCCACATAGTCACAGATGCAGAAAAATGAGTACTAATCATAGTTTGCAGTGTCATTGCCAGCAAGCAATGGCTTGACACCAAGAAGAAGAAGCTTTCCAAAAAAGGACATTGCATGTAATATTCATTCCTTGGAAATAAATGATTTTAGATATGTCTGCTGTTATCTGTTACCTCTACAAGAAAAATTTCAGATGAACTTTCTCCTGAGGAGAGGCATTTACGGGATTGGAGGACTCTACAGATTGCATTACAAGGCTTCAATCAGTCTCCATGTTTTGATCTACTTGTACTAACAACTAGGGCCTCCTTAACTGCTGTGGTGTTGGCCATGATGTTGAGTCAGTATTTCATACGTACATGGTCAATGAAAGAACAGACTGTATTTTTAGGTGCCATTTCAACAGGGATGGAACACCTACTAAAAGAAGGCCAAGAGGAGAGGCAAATCATGCATTGTGTTGCCTTGGATTATTTCTTCATTCTTTGTTCCAGGTGTGTGGATCAGTAGCAAGAGGGCTCTCCATGAAATTTGGTCTGACCTCAATGGTAATGTACTACAAGTGGATCAAGTTCTCCAGGAGGTGTGTTCTCCTCTGTGTCTTGCAAGACCATCCAGATGCCAGAATTAGAGCTCCCTCCAGAGAAGATATCAATCCATATATTGCAGCAATCAGTCAAAAACACTCCCCGTCTCTGGGCAAGAAAGGGTCTGGGGGCTGCTGATGGGCTGGATTTAATTTCAGACATCACCAAAGTGGACAATACCAAATATGTCCTGCACTTGATGGACATGCAACATGTGCATGATAAACAGCGTCTTTCTGTTTGCACCTGATAGGAAGATACAGATGTGCACATACAACTGCCCTGGTGCTTGGCATGATGGTGACACCATGTCCAAGTACTATGGCATATATGTAAAAATAGAGAACATTTATGCTTACTTGAATTGGGGAAAGCTAGTACTAGTTGACTCAGTGTTTAATCTTCAAGGGAAGAAGTGCCAGTCCTGTGCTGTCCACAGGAATAGTAGCTGCTGCAATTGGTGGTGGTGCTGCAATTGGTGGTGCTGGTGGTGATTCAACTGCTGGTGGTAGTGCTGCTGCTGTGTTGTCCTCCTCCTCATTGTTGTCAGAAGAATCAGTATGTTCTTTCTGTGTTTCTTGTGTATCTTGCAATGCTTGATGGAGGCTAGGCACAGCATTCTTACCACAACTGCTGTTGCTATTTGCTAGCACCATGTGTTCTAATAGATTTTGGCAAGCTTGCAAAATGTGACTAAAAATTTGAATCAATGATTCCAAATTTATATGTACAAGAAGATTACATTTAGAATAGTCCATGGCGCTGGACTACCCAAAATTGCATTTAATTTTGGGTGCACAACTGAAATTGAAATTTAATTACATAGATTTGTGTTTACAGGAATGACCCATTCATAGTAAACATCACAAGAAATGTAAAGTCATTTGACACAATTCAGTGTTGTCAAAGTTGATTCAATTTTTGATGAATGGTATAATGAAAAAAAATGCAAGTACTGGAGGAAGTCATTTAGAGTAGTATAGTACAAGTTTGTACTTTCCTTCCCTCCTCTGTATTATGATCTGCAGTGCAATACCAATTGAATAGCTTGAAAACAGATATATCCTGGTGGAACAAAAATAATACGTCTTTTGAATAACTTTTAATCCTGAGCACTAACCATTTCTGAAGTACCACTTCACAGCTCTTCTCTGATATTTATGTTTAAATTCTTCTTGCTCCTGGAACATTCTACTAGTACTATTCTTAAACTACTGCACCTAACAAATTACCCCTTTCTATATCAATTCCACTGGAGGAAGTACTACTTTTGTAATTTTCAAGTTTTACATGTTTGTTGCATGATGATCTTAGTCAAATCCCAAATGCTCCAGAAATGCAACAAATACCAAAGACGAAGGGAACAGCAATAGTACATAGAGGGCCACTCTAATTGTCATCACTTTTTTTTGTACAAAATAGGCCATAATGAACTGCACAATAACAATAGAGGCTGTTTCGGCAGTATATCGCCATGCCAATCCCCGGAAGTAAATCAATCCCATGAAAACAGACAAGCAAAAAGTATTGTTCATGCATGCTGCACCTTCCAATGCAGAGAGCGCTACCGTCATAGACTTTCGTGTCTTCTTTGCTCCAAAAAACATACTGGCCACAACTTCACTAGAATTCGACGCCAGCGGAGCAAGAACAAAACTGACATAAAAGGAGGGGATGTTGGCTTTGACTGCGATCTCTTGCATCACGTCTACCATAGGGTCAGAAAAGTAGATGACCATAAGAGTTCCGGCAGCGAGCATTTTGAAGGCTCTGAACTTGATTGCCGTTTGCTGTTCTTCCGGGCTCAAATCACAGAAATCCTCCGGGATCTCCTCCACCTCAAGTTCTTCTCCTTCACTGCTATCAACGCTAGTAATAGCATTCTGAACACTCTTCCTAAATGCATGATTCACCTGGTGGTTGCCACTGTGATCACTCTCATCGATGATCAAGTGATAGCAAAGTACCACGAACTCGTCTAGACATATGACTTTGTCGTTATTACTGTCGATTTTCTGGAGCAACTTGTCAATCTCATCCTCGTCGAAAGTTTCGTGGAAGTCTTTCAAGAATACCCTAATTTCTTTCTTTTCGAGAAGTCCATTCTTGTCATCGTCATATGCGCTGAAGGCGTCTTTCAAGAGATCCTTAAGGATGCGCGTGCTTTCAGGCGACGGCTGACGAAGACCGACGGAACCATAGTCTGCACMATTGCTAGTGGGATGTTCAGATGACTCAATGGATTTGATGGTTGACTTCAGCACTCCACTCAGTGACATTTTTCCGGCCTGAAGCGTTTTCTTTGCGATTGCAATACGCCTGTCTGCCTCACCCCTCTCGCTGAATTCCAATTGCAACCTCATGTAGTAAACCAAACCAAATACACAAACTACAAGGGCTAGAATCGACCACCAGTGTTCGCCTTTTGCAATGTCTCCGGTTGAACCGTGCATGAAGAGCGCTGGGAACTGGATCAAAAAGTATGGAATAGTTGTGATTGCCATCAGGAAACCTCCGCGGCGAATTTCACTGGAGACATAAACACCAGTATGGTCAAGCGTCTCTTCTATGGTTTTACCGGGAGTTAACTTGGGAGAGTCCCAATAGGTTGGCTTTCCATTCTCAATATTAACGCGACCAACAAAAACAGTGAATGCCCACGGAATGGTCAGAAGCATGATGGTGGACCCTGCCAAAGCTCCGATACCAACGCTAAGACTCTCCTGAGCCATCTCGATAGATCCGAGACCCGAAAACAAAATAATGGCTATTTTACAATTTTAAAAAATGGGGAAATCTGTCAGAGGTAGCATCGAAAGAACAGAGCAACGGTCCGATGGTATTCAATTGCTGCATTCTCCTTCGTATTTATGTGTGTCGGATTCGAAATAATGACACTTACCAGCATCCGGAACAGCTCCCAATAAAGGCAGCACAACGCTACCGACCAAACCAGCCATGCTCGGTACAAGTAGTAATAGCTCGCTGCCTTCACCGATCAAATTTGCGGCATAGAAAAGAGCATACCCATACGAGAAGAAAAGCCAAATAAGACCGCTCACGCCAACCTCTGATGGCTCGATTGAAGGTCCAACAGCCATGGTGATTACCTGTCAGCGTTTCTTTAGTAAGTCAATGGATAACTTTCGGGTACCTTTCAGTAGAAAGAAATATTCGACTATGCAGGAATGCTCAAATTATCGCTAAGTTGATTGTTCACCGACACGATCGTACGAATATTGTAAGGTTTTGCAATCTGGGACCTAAATCTGCGTTACGCTGCTGCACTTTGCGATGCGTACGAGTCATCTCAGGGCACCAGATGGGGAAAAAAAATGCAGCAAATTTTGTAGTACGGTACTTGTACTTCCTACAGTAGTTCGTACAGAACAAAGCTGTCTTCGCAGATGTAGACATCATCATGATCCATGTTTAAGCTGCGGTCGAAGATACGGTGACAACGGTTCTCGCCAGAGTAAGGTAGCTACGTACTTGTACTGCTGTAGAAAGTAATCCCATGGGTACAACATATTTCATAGCACAGAAGCACGATCCCTTAAGTAATAGTAGCAAAGAATAAAAAAATACTGAAATGCCAAATTGTGTAAATGTAAATTCGTGCGATCTCTTCAATGTTTGTGTCAGATTCCATTTTTACTACGGAGTACGTACTTCTTCTTATAATGGGTGATTCCCGATAACATATATCTGTGTATTTTCTGGCACGGCCGGCTCGCATTATGACCCAAAATACATAAATTTTGGATGTCGTGGGCCCTCGACAACCAAAAAATATGTAATTTACATATTTTTGAATTGGAATCCTTGACTTAACCATTTCAGTCTCGGGAGCAGGCGCGCCCTTAACAGGCGGCAAACCGATTCAAGAAGTGTCAAGGAAGAAAAAAGCACATCTTTTCTTCGACACCAGCA